CCTCAGATTCTCGCTCCCACCAAGAAGTCGCCTCAGAAGCTTCCCTCCCCCTCCAGAAGAAAAATCTCCTCAGATTCTCTTCCTGCAACTCCAGAAACATTCCCAAGGTCTCGCCCCAAAAGATCCCCGTCCCGAGCTCTTCCTCCAAAATCCACTCAAACTCTGCCCCACAACTCCACACCCCCATCCCTCCCGAGGTGCGCCCGCCGGCTCTGCCCAGTCGCCCCCGGGTGCCCCGACCCCTCTGGGGGCCGCCCCCGCTCCGGCCGCCCTGCTCTCCCCGCACCCGCCCAGGCCCCAGCGCCGCGCTCCCGCCACTTCCCCGCGCACCCTCACCTAGGCGGCCCCGGCCCGCGCTCCAGCCCGCCGAGAGCTCCGGCGCTCCGCTCCCAGCAGCCGGCGCCTCCTCCGGCTCCCTGGGACTGACAATGAGGGGCGGGGCCTGGTTGTGACGTCATCGTTCTAGAAGGCGGGGCCTCTTGGGGGCGGGGCTGACGAACAGATTCCGCCCTCTCCGCTCTTACCGCCTTACCCGGGACTTAGACTCCACCAAGTTTTTATTGCCTCCCTAGCTAGGTGCCCAGGGACTGTACCAGGCGCCGTGGGAAATTGAAATGGAAGATAAGACTTCCTGCTTTCAAGAGGGGCACTCTCGGGGCGGGTGTGAGGATTAAATGAGATAATCAATGGTAAGGCGCTTAGCCCAGAGCCTGGTAGGGAATAATCACTCAACAAATACCATTTCCATTGCTCAGCAAATGCAGAAAAGGAACTCAGCTTGGACTCAGGAGGCATGGGTTCCAGTTCCCAGCTCTGCTATTAATTAATTGTGTGATCCTAGACAAGCTCTTTCCCAACTATGTTCCTTACTTTCACCTTCTTTAAAATGGGATGACCAGGTGATCTCAAAAGTCCCTCCAATAATTCTATGACATACTTCCTGTAGTTCTACTATATACGAGGTACCCAGGGCCCAGAGAAGTGGGGAGGAGGGCTCTGAGGGGAGCCCAAAACCCACACCCAGCACAGTACAGGACACAGCCTGAGACGTGCTCTCCCCGCAGATGCCCTCCCACGCACTGGCACGCACAGGCATTCACAAGCCAGGACACAGATGGGCTGAGGGCTGCTTCCTTTCTGACTGCAGCAGCATGGTTGGTCTCTCGAGACACCTCTTGTGTAAGCTCTTTATTGCCTATGGAATAAAGGCCAAAACCATGGCCTGGTATGATCACTTCCTACCTCTACACACACACACACACACACACACACACACACACACACACACACACACTCTAAAGTTTATCCAGACTTCCCTTAGCACACCCACTGCTTTCCCACATCTGCCCCTTTGTTCAGGCCCTTTCCTTGCTGTCTCATCTTCTACTTTCCCCCAGCCAGAAGCCAACCCTCCCCACTCTGAATACGCCCCCACCCCCCACCCCCACCCAGTGGCATTGTGTTTAACTTTCACGTGGGCATGAACACATTATAACTTGTATCAAATTGACCTCCTATTTGTTTCTTAGCACTTCCTGGAGGTCAGAACCCACATATATTTGTGGAGCTCAAGTTCTGATGCCAGAAAACCCCAGGATGATATACCCATGTTCTAGCTTATACTAGCTCTCTCTGAGCCTCAGTCTCTTCATCTGTAAAATGGGGATAATAGTAATAATATGGTCCTTGTAGTGTTTGTTACGTAACATAGCATGTGGAAAATACCAGGCACACTGTTCCACTGTTCCACTAACAATATGGTTGTCATTCTTATTTTCAATATTATTACTATCATCAATATTATTTCCAGCCCCAAACACCACACAGCACCCATGTGATAACCCACCCCATCATTGCATAGTGGAATACTTTAAGGTCCTGAGAAAAGAAGAGATTTGCTGAAAGTGGTCCTGCAAAGTATTGCCTTTGAAACAGGAACTAGCATTTCAGTTTCCACACTCCAGGTGGATATGCAGAGTCACATCTAATATCTCTGGGCGTCCCTGTCACTCAGCAACCCTCCAACTTGGAGATAGCTGTGAGTTCTCTCTGTGAGTTCTTTGCTGCAGAACTGACCCAATTTCTGCCTTGTGCCTTTCTCTTCTCACCTTCCTTACAGAGAGATGGATCTGTGTTAAACTGCCCTTGGCATCACTGCAGTCCTCTAGGAGAGCTGTAGCAAGGCACTGGACATTTCCATAGTGCTGGCCTGTGGGAGGAGGGGAAGAACTTTGGAGTTCTAGTTAATTTCTTGTGCTCGGTACAGGCAAATGGCTGTCCTGAAATGCCTGGGCTAGTCCTCAAGGGCCCCTAACAAATTGTAGCTTATTTTTAGAATAGAAGATTCAAAAACACCACTTCCCATGAAGAGTAAGCATGGCCACGGGATTGCAGCAGGAAAAGAAATCTCCTTTACTGAGTTGCTCCTAAGGGCTAACACTGATTCCAAGCACTACAAACCCTTAGAAGGGAGAACCCAAGACATACAAGGGAGGTTCTGAAGACAGAACTTTTTCCCTGGGACCCATGAGTCCATCAACCACATACTCATTCATTCATTCACAGCAAAAGCTTTGGCTCAGGACAGATCAGGATTCAAATCTTAACTCCATGCTTACCAGTTGTATAACTTTGGGCTGTTAAGTCTCTACACCTCAGTTTCTCATCTGCAAAATGAAAATAGTAATAGTACCTATCTCACACAATGACTGAGAGGATTAAATAAGATAACATGTGAAAGAGCTTAGTCCAGAGCCTGGTACCTAGTTCATGCAGGATAAAGTGGTTGCCATTACCGTTTGAACATGTCCTCCCAGGAAGGCCTCCCATGCGCTGGCCTCTGGACTGAAAATGGGGCTAAATAATAGTCCTGCCCTCAAGAGGATCCATTAGTGAAAGGAATGGGATAAATTTGCATGAATAGGCAAGAAAAAGTGTCTGCTGGGTATTGTTAAGTGAAAAGAGCAAGTTGCAAAATTACAGGTGTAGGAGGATCTCACGGTTATAATTTATAACATATGCTTAGTATATGCATAGAAAAATATGGAGTCTGTAAAGAACTAAATAGAAGGCTTTCACCTTTTTTCTTTTTGCTTTGCTTTTCTGTGTGTGTATAGCTGGAACTTTCAAAAAAGACTTTACTAAATGCTAACAGGGAGGAAAGGGTATTAAAAACACAGCTACAAGGCTTATCGGTGGCATCTGAGCTAACTGTGCATACTGCTGTAGAAAGTTCCACAGATCCCATCTCATTCTTCATGGGGTTCCAGGGAAAGCCCCCGCCTAGATAATTCTCACCTTCTCCCCACCCCATGAATCATG